TTTGTTTAGTGACAGCGAATGGCATGGATTTTGGACAGAGTATTCTGAATCTTCAGAGGATGAGGAAGGCTATGTCAGGTAGCTTTTGAAAGGGAACATGTAGCAGTTTAGATCGGATCCAGTGAATATGGGGCTTTTAATAGGGAAATCCCTCTACTGATATGGAGGACGAGGGAAATAGATAGCTGTCCTCTGTTTTTAGACGAGTGAACTGAGCTTTGATTTTTCTGAGGTAATACAGGTGTTCAAGGTCTGTGTAAGGTAGGAATACATCAAATCCCTGTAGGGTGGTGTCCTGCAGGTTACAGTTTGAATCTGAGCCATATTAGCAGGAGTTAACCAGCTCCACCTTGAGACTTGACCAGACAAGTTGCTGGATTGGAGTTGTGTAGGTAGTGTTGTGCCTCTGGAGATTAAGAGAGAGGGGAGTTTTGTTTATGTGTGCTTTATGCCTCTACAAGGACCGCGCCTCAGAGATAAGTCCTTCTGTCACACAAAGAAAAGAAGCAACAACTGTCTCGGGGGTGGTTAAGATAAAGACTGAGCAAATATCAGGGCTGAAACAATGTAGTTTGTTTTCAGACATTTCCCTGATTCTTTCCTTTCTTTCCATCAGAACAATAAGTCCCTTCTGATCACTGCATTTATCATTGCATTTGTCTGCTGGTCATGCTCCTTCAGCTGGACTTCATAGCTTAGCCGTGCACAGAAGAAAGCTTGTATGATCCATATGGCTGTCTTCCTGTCCTAGGGCAAAACAGTTACTTGTTAGTTCAAATCTGTTTATGATAAATGTCTGCTGTTTGTTTTCACAAGACTCTATAAATGCACCTTAGAAAATGCAATCCACTGCACCATCAGTCAGTTTTTGCCTTCTTGTTTGTGTCATCTCTTCAGGTAATCGATTTTCTTATTCTTTTCTACTAACCACCGAGGAGGCTGGAAGGCACAAAAGCTTAAGCTTTTTAGTCATTCTGACCTCTCTGGAAAGTTACCTGCCTGATACAAGGCAGCAATGTGCACAGATATGGTTTTTCATGTGTATAAAAGTATTAGGAAACAAACAAAAAAAAACCAACAAAAAAAACCAACCCAAACCAAAAACTTGCTCTCTGTACCCAGAAAGAGTGACTAAGGAGAACAGCATGACGGTGTAATCCTGTAATCCTCTGCAGATTTCGACTGGGAGCCATTTTGTCCTAAATATTAGCAACGTCATAAAAATAACGCAGAGTAATCAGTCTTGTCTTCCCCTAGCCCCTAATCTTTGCTCCAGGCTATTAGCAAATGAACAAAATTTTCCCAAGCTTTTGCATGAGACTTATTGTGCCATTACTTTAAAAAAATAAGGCTAATTTCTGCCTCACTTTCTTATCGTTCCCCTATCTTCACCCCTTTGTTATAACCAGTGAGTCATATTTCACCTTTTCCTTAGTCTGCATTCACTCTTCTACTGCTTTTCCTGCCACCCTTCACTCCTGGAACGAATTATCTGCTCCTTTACATGAAAAAAATTATGTTTCCAATGCCATATTTTAAATTCACGTCTTGTATGGGGTTTCATCCCGTTGTCTCAGAAATGAAGATGGCCTTAATTTCCTAATTGCATGAGTACCTCTGATAAAAAATGGCAATATTCTCCCTTTTTCTAACAATTTGGTAACACATTTGCCATTGGTAAAGGTATGTTCTCACTGATTAACTGATTCAGTACAAATGCTGCATTTTATGGAAAAAGAATTTTTAATAGCTATGCACAAAATATAAGTGTTTAATTCCTGGGGTCAAATATTCAGTTTGAATTTATGTCTTGTCTTGTAAGTGAGACATAGGTTTTCATCCTGGCAGTGCGCTTCAAAGTAGAGTTTGTCTGGGATGTTCCTCATCTTTCAGACTAAAAATCAGGGATCTCAAGATTATTTCTGAATTCTGTCTTCCAGATGAATGGATATATTAATTTCATTTTAAATTCATGCTGTAGAGAAATCATGTTTACTTTGGATGCTATTAAAGTGAGTGTAGCAGTATATTAAGTGTCTGCTCACGTGTGATCCTAATACAACAAGTGATTTGAGTCTGGGGCAAGAGGATCTGCAGCTCAGTTTTATTTTTTTCATTACACCAATAATCATGAACATGTTCCTAGTATGAATGGGCACATTAGTGCTATGAGCATCAAGTTACATACTTCTTCCTTTACTTCTGTATATCAAGTTTGGACATCTGATGACCATTCCCCCATCATTTGACCTAGGATGTTGTGCTGCATACACTAGAAGCTGGAGTGGGAGCTTCAGCCCCTAACACTGCCTATAATGCATCCTCATCTAGAAGTAGTACTCTGTGCAACTTGGAGTTTAATTTCAGTGAGTTCATTGTCTGGGAGCTGATGATTAGAGATATAGAGATATAGATTATAATCAGAGGATGATTATAAAGATTATTATATATTTTTATTATACTATTATTGTTACTGTTTGACTCTATTATTAGACTACAGTAATTTTTTTGTTGTTATTATTAGATCTGTCTCCTGCGCTAGCCAGGAGACACCATGGTTGTCACCATGAAGGGCTGGAAATGTGCAGGCTGGAAGCTGGGAAGTTGAGATTTCCATGTCTGAGAGCAACTACCTCTTTGCTTGGCTTAAAAGGATGAGGGAAATGCACTTTCAGTGGCTTGATATATTCGGCACCAACTGAGTTAATTTTATTTGGGCAATTAATGTGTCCCAGGGGACTTAATGTGAGCATGGTGCCAGCTAGTCTGAGGCCTACTTGCGTTCAGTAATTTCTCACTAAAGACAGGAGAAATTCCAGCGATCAGCTAACAGACTGCTGAACTGATTGGATCTAAGACACTAGCTCAGTTGGCCCTTGCTTGCTCCAAGATATGAAGGCCTGATTTTTCACAATTATAAGTCACTGAATGTTTTGCTAGTATAAACAAAACTGTTTGATTTTTTTTTTTTTCTGTTCTCTTCAGTCAGGTTTTCAGAAAAGTCTAGAGCGCATTAGCTTTGGTTTTCCAAACAAAACAACAGCAAAGAAGTTTCAGTCCAATCAGTTAAAACTTAACAGAACTGTAAGTGACTGCAAAGCCCTAACAAGGCAAGCAACGTTGGTTGCTCTGCTTCTGTGCTGTCATAGCCATAGCATAACAGTCTTCGTTTTGTTGAGTTCAAGATGATTGTGTGATACCAATCCATAGGGATCTCACTGAGTGTTTTACAGAGAAAATGAAGCTAGGGATAAAGTTACTTAGGACAGTTTTGTGTTAGGCCAGTCACACACTTGTCTAAGCTGGGAGCAATGCTCATACCATAAATTGGGCTATGTATCCTTCCAGCCCATGCTTCACAACAACACTTGTTTTCTTCTTGTTTGTCATTGCTCAAGATAAAGGCATTGTTCCAGGGCTGTGAAAGACATCCCAACATTGCCAGGCTATGGAGGAGTTGTACATAAGGTTGCTTTGCTTTGCCAGGTGAAGATTTTGTGTAACCCTTATAGTTATAGATACAGAGAAAATATGGGGCCTTCATCTGTGCTCAGTCCTACCATTCTCTCATCCTCAAAACCAGCGCTTGCATTTAAAAAAATGAAAACTTGTAGCTTGTGCTTGAGCATCTACTAATCTCTAAAGGCTTCGGAAAGTTGTATCCTCTGTAGAATATAGAAAAAATTAGTTCATAATGAACAAGGAAACCATAATTAATATAATTAATCATTAATAAGACCATAATTAATGGTCTTTTGTGTGCCTAAATCTCCCTACTAAGAAAATGTAAGATTTCCTACAGAGATGTATAGGAGCTCATTTCATTTGAAATAAGTTTTTAGAGATATAATGACTACTGTTGGATGTTTTTGGGATGCGTATAGCAAATTATGTAGCGTTCTCCAAAAGCATTTGGGGTTGGCTTGTTGTGAACAATGGTACTTCTCAGAAGAAGGTAGTTTTGGCATCAACTCTTGAAATGAACTGAATCACAGAATCACAGAATGGTTGAAGTTGAAAAGGCCTCTGGAGGTCTTCTGGTCCTCTGCTGAAGTAAGTTGTTCTGGAATTCTGCTGCTTACTACACTCCTGAGTTTTATTTAGAAATAAAGAAAGATGTGTGCTACCCTCAAAGCTATTTCTTGTTGCTGTTTGAAAAGTTTCCATGTTTAACTGTCTTTTCTGGCGGGCAGTTAAGCCCACCTTGTCGACAGCACCCTCCTTCCTCCATGACTCAAGCTATTGTTGTGACTCATCTCAGGTGCACAACCTTGTGAAGTACATTTTTGTCTGTCTAAATGTATGACATCCCCTGGATTTTGCCTTATCTGCTATGATGTTAATATCTTCTTGAAATGCCATAAGTTGGTTAAGCAATGGTTCCCAGCTCTGATTTCATAGATTACTTGAATCAAATTGTTTGTTTAGCAGGTTTTTTAATTACCTTCTTAAAATAGTCCCTCTGGACTTTTTCCATACCCAATATTGAATTGACTCATGTTGTTTTTTTCAAAATGTAATAAAATTAACATTTCATTGTCTTGAATCATCAGAACTCTTCTGAAGTCAGAAAAAATGTTGTGCTTGCTTTACCAGTTTCAACATTTGTGATTATTACTTGTGAAATATGTTTCTTTATTTATTTTGAAGTAGATATTTTTGTATTTTTACGCATATATACGTTTGCATTGCTTTGTCTGCACTGAAAAATTCACCTCAATGTAGGCAAAAATGTGGCTTTCTTTATAGATACAAAAAGCATATATTGTTTAGCAGCTAGATTCTCTCATCCTGAATGGAAGGACCTTGTAAATTTCAGTAAGACTTCTCTTTTATATGTTACCTCCTGCAGATATATATGGGAAAACCTGTGATGATATTGGTTTTGTGTACTAGTACTAGTATTCATTATTTGGTAGGATTTCTTCAGATGTTGTAGAGGATAAGTTTGTTCATTTTGTTATGAACAAGAATAAATGAGTAACAGGAATGTTTTACAGGTTATGCCTCCTTGTCCAGGATGCCTATGGCATGTTCAGTGAAGTACAGCTACAGTGTCTGGATTCTGCAAAAGACCTTGAGCAGTACTGCAAGAGATGGGAGGGAAAATTCTGCTGTTTAGCTGGAATGAAAATTTTGCAAAGAACTACAAGAGGAAGGTGAGAACAGTTTGAGAACAATGTGTTGAGTGCTGTGGCAGGCAGTGGTGATCTTCCATTTAATTATTTATGTGGTCAGTGTTCTTTGGAACAACTGAATCAGGTTCTGTTCAATTAAATATCCTCATTGCCATTTTTAGGGCATCAAGTAGGCATCAGCTGGATCCAATTGCACTTGAGCCAATCATATTCCTAAATCAGCGTAAATAAGCTGACACACAAAAACAGACTTAGCAGAGAACGGAATTTAGAAGAATTACCTTATGCAGTGGTTCATAAAGTATGAGTTTTCTTCCTCTTCAGTAGATTCAAAGACTTGAAAATGTTAGTTCATCTCTCTTCTTTGCAAAGCTGTTTATTACAATATGTTGGGGTTTTTTTTCTTTTGTTTTTCTGTTCTTTTTAGTCTGAGTTGAAGTTTCAAGAAAAGATTTTTGCTTGGTATTTGGGAGCTTAATTCAGTAAGGCCTATACATTTTTGAAAGCACAGTTAAAGTGTCTCTAAAGAAAAATAAAATAAAAAAAAATAAAAATAAAAAAAACAACAAAGCAAACAAACCTAACACTGAAAAACCCTCTCAAATAATACAAGCATTCCTGTTCTGGAATAAGAGCATCCACAGACTTTCAGAAAAATCCCCACAACTAATTAATAAATAGATGTTATGGTACCTCCTTCATTTTGCTAATTCTTTGATTTCTTTTACTTTCTTAACATAAAATGTATTAAATATGTTAGATGAAAAAACAACTCCACATTAAGTAGATCTTACAGAGTTATCTTTCAGAGTATCTTTCCATGCGAATCGATATAGTATCCACATGGGGAGCTATATAAATATTACTAGACTGGTTTAATTCTCAACATGATTTATTCTGGTAAAAACATCCTATCTCGATAAGCCTTTGCTATTAGAATGGCTATAATATTTCATCTGACACTTTTTTTTCCTGTCGAAAAAATGCTGTTTCATCAAAACCAGAAAGTTTCACAGAAACTTTATCTATTTTGGAGACAATTTTACTGGGAAGATTTTTTCAGGTCCAGAGGGAGTGAATACTCTCTCTCTTTTTCATTTCATGAAAACTTTCAGAAAGTCTCATTTTTGTTTCATACTGGAACAAAAACAAATTTCAAAGCCTTGAAATGTTTAGCAAAATGGAATTGTTGTTTTTCAGCCAGCCCTATTCAGTATGCTTCTCTTTTTATGTAGTTGCAGTGTTAATTTTCAGATCCTTTGGATTTCAAGCCTACTTGCATTTTTATGGATCTTTAATAACAAACACGTCTTCTTATTTAATTATTTTGTTGGCTTTTTTTTTTTTTTTTTTTTTTCAAGTTACATTTTTTCCAAACAAATTAAATAATGGCTTTGGAATTCTGGATACAAATGAAGTTTTACAACTGGCTGCTGGTGTTTCCAGTACTCAGCCTGGCTAATAAGAGACAGACTTTTTCTAATGTAAATTCTCTTTCAAAGCAGCAGTAACTTACTTCTGGCTATTCTGAGGATGATTAGAAAACACACTGCTGAAAATGCTGGTGGCTCAGCTGGAGCTGTGCTGGTGGTAACCGTGCTAGAAAACATGAAAAGAAAATGGCCAGTGTAGCTTCAGGGACAGAGCGGTGGTTAAACGTGATTTCAGTGTACAAGTTGGGTGGGTGGGGAGATGGCTGTCCTTTCTTTCCTAATTGTTTTAGCTTAAGTTCTGTTTTATAACTTGCTATTACTTTTAAGTGTCGGGACATGTTTTGTGTCAATCTAGGTGTGATGGAAACCACAGTAAAGCCGTAGCTGAAATGAATATAAGGGAGCACTTATTCATGCAGAGTATAATTGGGCTGTAGAACTCATTGCCGCTGCATAAATGCGTTTCAAGAGCCAGTGGTATATCTGAGCACATGATGGGATATGCCTGTAAAGTTCCCAACCTTGGCTTGTAGAACATGAGTGAAGAACAACTCTGTGGTCTGCCCTGCAAGAAAGACATTTGTTATTTTTTTTCCCCCTTCCGGAACACCAATTATTGTTTGGAAGGAGATGGCTTTTAAACTGTTTGTTTCCTGGAGTTTGACAGTGACTTTTAAAATAGATAAAAGGGAATAAGATGTAGGAAATATGAGGGAAATACAAGTCTTCTTTTTTTCTGCCTTTGTAGCACATGATCTGGAGAAGATCAAGAATGGTTAATAAGATCCCACATGTGCCTGTTGTCACGTGTACTGTAATCTCTTATGGAGACAAGGAGCTTCCTCAGTCATTCTGTTAGACAGAAGAGATTTTCATTTATCAGATTCTAGAAGTTCTCAAAGTTTTTTAACAGTAGAATACTGTTACTGTTGAAATATGTTCCAGGCCATCATTCATCCTCATCATCAAGTATTTAATTTAAAGTACTATTTAACATAATTCCAGTAAATACAATTTAAAAATCACTATTGTGAACTGAATTTGCATTTCAGTGACAAAAAATCTATAATAAAGGGTAGTTTGCATCTAGGCAATAACCTGGCTGTAAACCTGACTTGATTTTTGAAATGGACTTGTACTGTGAGGTGGACCGGAGGAACCAAACCCTTTTCTTCTCCCAATAGGAAAACCTTTGTGTTCCAAAACAAAAGTGGGATAAGAACTACAGCCAAATGTTTATTGATCTGCCACTGGTGATTTTTGAGCCTTTCTATCTCTTGCCCTCTTATTGCTTCATATGTCAACCTTATAAATTTAGCCCCTTGAGAAAGAGGAGGTGAGATTTCTATGGTGTACTGCTAGAGATGGAAATACTGGCTAAAAATGCATGCATTTCAACTAATAGGTAACCTTCCCATTTTGACCATTTGTTTCAGCATGTCCAGTATAACCAGTAACTAAATGGATGCAATTAGATACAGGGACTGAGCACTCGCTAAAATGTCTCAGGAATAAATAAACTATAAATTGGCATAGTCTGCTGCTTCCTACTATAAACTGATTTCAATGAACTAGGATAAACTTTGTAGTTATATATTTATCTTTACTAGCAAAAAAATATTACCTTTATGTTATTATCCCTGACCAGAGTTCCACATGGAATATTTTGTGTTTTGATAATCTGTGAACTTTCACCTGATTTGCCAAGCACTGACTTGTTTTACTACTGAGTATAGCAGACATACTATATTCTTCTCCTAACATTTATTTACAAGGTTGAAAGATGAGGAGTTTATATCCAGCAGGACAGAAAAATTACACCAATTCAAAAATGAAAGAGGGAAAATGCTTTACTGTAAAATATAATTAATGCAGGGTGTCAGTGCCAATTTTGTCCCTAGATAAAAAAATGTTGAAAAAGTTTTTTTAAAAAAAAAGGAAAGAAAGAAAAAAAGATGAGAATATTGCATGGATATTGCTAAAATCTACATATACAAGGACTGCTTTGAAAGTAATGCCTCCTACTGTTTTATTATAACAACCATGATGTCAGAGGTGGACATTGGTGGTATGGCAGTAGAGGTTCAACCTTCCCACCAATATTTCATTACATTTTTGTTGCCATGTGGCAGATGGCAGAATAGGGGCAGTCTGATGTAATGGTGTCTGATGTGGGAGGGCGTATGAAGCAAAGGTGTGGAAATGAATTCCTCCGTGAGGGAAAAATGGCACCCACTGACATTCATTGAAGCTTGCTGAATGTTTATGGGGACCAACCAGGGGAAGTGAGCGCAGTGAGTGGAGGATGGTGCGTTTCAGCAGTGGCAGCAGTGGCAGCAGTGACAGTTTGTCACTTCAGCTGGTGCAGATCTTTGTGAGCGCAGCATGCAATAGGTTGCCTGGGGCTTTGGGCAGCCTGCTCTAAGGGGAGGTGTCCCTGCCCACGTTTGGAGATTGGAGGTAGGTGACCTTTAAGGTACCTTCCACACCAACCCACTCTATGATTCTATGATTAATCCCAATCTGCGGTACTGGTCACCATTTTCTTTTTTTTCCCCTCTTTTTTTTTCTTTTTTATTTCAGTCTCATAATTCTCTGGTCTGTACAAATCATTTTTTTCCTCTGCTCTTTTTTTTTTTTCTTCTTTTTTTATTTATTTATTTTTTTTTCCTGAGCTGGCTGGGTAGATAGAGGGAGAGTAGTGTCTGTTGTGTATGTACCTTGACTTCAGCAAGGTGTTTGGCACAATCTCCCACAACATACTTGTTATGAAACTTAGGAAGTGTGGGATAGATGAGAGAGCGGTGAGATAGATTGAGAACTGGCTGGCTGGCAGAGTTCAGAGGGTTGTCATCAGCAGCACAGAGTTGATTGGAGGCCTGTAACTAGCTGTGTTCCCCAGGGGTTGGTACTGGGTCAGATCTTGTTCAACATCTTCATCAGCGACCTGGATGAAGGTATAGAGTTCACCCTTAGCAAGTCTGTTGACGATACAAAGATGGGAGGAGTGTCTGGCATGCCTGAAGGCTGTGCTACCTTTCAGTGAGAACTGGACACACTAGAGAGTTGGGTAGGGAGGAACCTGGTTAGGTTCAACAAGAGCAAGTCTTGCACCTGGGGAGGAATAACTGCATGCATCAGTACAGGTTAGGGGATGACCTGCTGGAAAGGACCTCTGTGGAGAAGGACCTGGATATTCTCGTAGACAACAGATTAAACATGAGCCAGCAGTGTGCCCTTGTGATGAAGAGGGCCAATGGTATCCTGGTGTGCAGTAACAACAGTGTGGCCAGCAGGTCAAGGAGTCTTCCCCCTCTACTCAGCCCTGATGAGACCACATTTGGACTACTGTGCCCAGTTCTGGGCTCCCCAGTCCAAAAAAGACAGGGATCTCCTAGAAGGAATCTAGAAGAGGGTCAGAAAGATGATTAATGGCCTGGAACATCTCCTATATGAGGAAAGGCTGAGTAACCTGGGTCTGTTCAGCCTGAGGAAAAGAAGACAGAGGGGAGAACTAATTAATGTTTATAAATAGAGTGGCAAATGGATGAGGCCAAGTTCTTTTTGGTGGTGCATAATGATAGAACA